ATTATTACAACACCGAATTGAAAATTAGCTATGCTAAACTAATTAAGAATTTACAATGATAGAATCAATTAGCAAATACATCAACTAATTAAACAGCAAATTAACTAACTACACAAAGCAGTTAAAACAGCCTCGAGGAGAGGGGCATATGCATGCTCGGTCGGCTTGGCTCGGAAATCCGTTGCCATGCCTTATGTTGCCTCTGTTTGCACACTTTTGCACCTCTGAAAACTGTGCCAACTTCCATAGTGCTTTTGACCCACCTCATGGACACTCTGAGAGGTCATCGGCCAAGAGGGGTGGCCATCGGCCAGTGGATAATGGTCATTGACCAATTTTGAGGATATCAGCCAAATATTTATAGCCGATCGGCACACTAGATAGCCGATCGGCCATCTCTTCCTGCAAACTCTCCTTTTTACTGCAACAGAGCACAAACAGAGCACAAACAGAGGCATGACAATGTATTTGCAAGAAAATATTTGTGCAACGACACTCCTTATCATGTTTGAAGCTCAAAGGAGTGTAGTTCTCGACTCTCGAGCCATCAATCACACATTTCGATGCATGATAGCCAAAGAGGCCGAGTTGCACAAATCAATATGGGTGAAATGCACAAAAACACATATATGCCTTAACCTCTATCATGCATGATCAAGAGGGTCGGCGATCGAGAATTGAGGCCCGTTTCATCACTTCAAGCATGAAACGTCCCTCGTTCCTCGTGTTTGGCTTAACACCCAAACCAAACACAATGCAATGCAATGCATGCACAACTTAACAAAGCTAATGACATGCAAACAATGTAATGCAACATGAGCATGCAAGCACCATGTAATGCAACCTAAACATGTAAACAACATGTAAGAATCATGCAATGCGACAAGCATGCGACAACATGCAATGCGACAAGCATGCAACAACAACAAAATGGAACAAGCACGCAACGACATGCAATCTAACAAGCATGAAACAACATGCAAAATGGACTTAAACTAAAATGGACAAACCTCAATCATGCCCCAATCAGTGGCCAAAATGTTGAAATGATGGCATGAAATGCAAGACAATGCATGCACATGCTCTAGCCCACCAACTAAGCATAAAAGCATAACTCTCAAAAGTGCTCAAGGAGTGACAAATGTAAGAGTGTAGCAACACTATAAGCACTGAAATAAGGTATGAAATGATTCCAAATCATTCAATCAATACAAGCATGGCATGCTAGGGTCCTTAAAGCATAAAGCTACCAAAGAGGACTACAAAGGAGGCATGCAATACATGGTACAAAGGCATGAACCAATCATGGATAGAGTTCAAATAGGTCTAAACAAAGACCAAAATATGCTAAGATTGAGGCACAAATGCCTAGGCATGCATGCATACACACTAAGCCACAAACAAGGTAACAAATGCACAACCCTTAGAGGCACTCAAAGGGTGAATGAAGTGGGAACATGGCAAGAATTACTACGTGATGCGCATAGCATACAAGTATAGACTAGATCACCTAAGTTGGACCAAAACATTTCATGTTCGTTTGTTTGAAAATGGTTTGAAGGTGCTACTCGCAAGTAAGCTAAGACGTAGATTTTGCCACCCTCAAGTGGGCTTAGAAAACATGATTTTGCCACTCCGCAAAATGGGCTTAAAACTCGCATTTCGATGGATTGTTCCAATTCAACCAATGAAGCCTTCATCCACAGGCATTCATACAGTTAAACATATAAGCCGTTAGCCTCATGGCAAGCATGCTTTCATGGCAATCAATAACACACATGCAGTATGCTAAAGCGTAAACACTCACAGTGTACTCCGAGCCAAAACAGAGAACTAGTTAAAAATCATGCATGATCCTAGTTCATGTTAAGATGGCTAATGCAACACAAATCTAGGCCTTAGACACCATTTTCTTTGAGTTGATAGCATTTATTTATGCTTTTCTCACTCATTTTCAGCACTAATCACCTCTACAACCTCCCTCCATGCTAGTGGACTTGATGCACAAAGCTAACAAGCTAGAATGAACCATAGCTATACAAATCATGGCATGCATGACCAAAACAACAAAAATAAGAGCTTAAGCATGCTAAAACATGACCAAAATATTCTTAGAGTTAAGCCAAAATCATGCTAGAATGACATGTTAAAGCATGATACACATTAGGCTAATTCATGGAATTGCACTACAAGTGCATGGAGCATGCAATGGCCAACCAAATCAAACCTTAACAGAGGTATGAAATAGAAAAACATCACCAAAAACATGCTGAAATAGAATCAAATAATGCTAGAAAGGCATCCTACTTCATGAAGCATACAAGACTAGTTTGTGAGAAATACACTACAAGTGTATAAACCATGCAAGGAGTGAGTCCACCAATCAAAATTAGAGTTATAACTTGTCAAAATAACACCAAAAACATGCTTCAAATAAGCTAATTCAAACCACAAAAGCATGCTACTTTGTAAGGCTAACAAGGCTAGCAAAGAGGATTTACACTACAAGTGCAATAAGCATGCAAGAGGTGACCAAGACAGCCAAAAATAGAGTTATGGAAGGTCTGATAAGTCACAAAAATGAGCCTAAACAAAGCCATAAAGAAGTAAAAACACATGCTCGTTTGGTTGGTCATCAACACTAGCAAGCAAAACAAGAGGAGAGGGGACCACCCCCTCCTATGTGGGCCCTCAAAATAGGGTTTTTACCACTGAAAATCCTCTGGATTTCAGTGGTTCTAAGGCCAAAAAGAAGTTGTTTGAAAAGTTTGAAAGTTAGCTCGCAAGGCCTTACAAGCCAAGGAGCAAAATAGAGGACAACCCCCTAGCCAACCAAGGCACAAACCAGGACTTTTAAGACTGAAAAATAGAGGGAAAATAGAGGTTTTTGTAGTTCAACCCCACCCCAAAAAATAGCCCCAAAGTAGTTGAAAACTATGGCAAAACTAGTGTGTAAAATAAGCTTAAATGGAGGGAGATCTTACCCTTGATGTACAGCTGCAAAACCAGCCAAAAATCTAAGCCAAAACACCTTTTGGAGTTCAAACAAAGTCCCAAGTAAGCTTCCAGCAACCTCCTCCCAAAAAGATAGGCAACTTTGATTAAGGATGCATAGGCAAACTAGTTATATTTCTCTACTTCTATGCACTTCTATGCACCAAAGGGCAAGAAAGAGAGGCTTTAGAGAGAGAGGCGGAGATCAAAACTTTGAAAATTGTAGAGAGAGGGAGTTTAGTGAGAGAAGCTCTCAAACTTGCTCAAGAAGTTCTAACCCTTTAGAAATGAGATATTTGGCTCCATATATAGCAAAAGGCAAGAGTTTGGTCGAAATATCTAAATATGGAACAGCTGGAGGTTGTGTGGAATAGCTAGAGATGAAATATCTTCAAAAAATCTGAGTTTGGGTCACTATTGGTCGATCAGCCATCTTTTGTGCCGATCTGCTACTTATCTGCTACTTATTTGGCCGATCGGCCAACAAAATCTGCTTTTCAAGCCCAACTTCAAATGGCCATAAATCCTTCATATGAACTCCTTTTTAGGTCATTCTTGTGTCCAAATTGAAGACCCGAAAGTAAGCTTTCCAATGGTGGCAGCCTTGCATCAAAATTCCAACTGTACAAAAAGTTATGCATGCTTTTGTGAAGCCACTCAGTTTCGGTTCAACCGGAATGATGCCCAATTTCAAACAACCATATCTCCTCCATCCGGACTCGGCTTTAGGAGATTCTTGAGTGAAAAATGAAGCCCCAGAAGTCTTCTTTCCAACGGTGGTGGCCTCATATCTTAAATCCAAGTGCATAGAGAGATAGGCTTGATTTAGAGAGGGTCGATCAACTTTCTCTTAACGATTCATGTCCAACTTCTTCCTCAACTAGGTTTCTTCTCTCCACTCTTATTTTCTTCAACTCCAAACTCCTAAACAAGGTGTTTTGAAAGATTTTTCAAAGATTTCAACTCTCTTTCATTCATTTCCACTTTGTCCTCGCTCAGTTTACCGAAAAGCGCAACATTTAACGAAATGCGAGCCTCGGAATATCGTAGGAACTTTATTTCAAAAATATTTTGAAAGAGAGGGTTTTAAGGTCTAAAAACCATCCAAAATAGCTTTGGTCCAAAATGGGGTGTGAGGTTAGGATTTGACTCTCCTCTTGCCGAAGAAATCGAACCTTTGCCCTGTACATCTTTCATCACCAAGTAAACCATCAGTAGCGCCCAAGTCTTAAGGACGGTCAAAAATGGGATGTCTACAATTATGCACATTAATAGAATGCTCAATGAAAAATGTCGCATAAAGAGATGCGCGCCTTAACAAGGCCAACTCAATTACGACCTCCGATTTACCTCTCGAAGGGATTACAATGTGTTTCAAAAGGATACACCTTGTTCATGCCGGCTGACAACGAGTCTCACGTCAAAGAAATGAATTGAAACTCCTGCGGAGACATTTTGAGTTAAAAAGTGGACTTTTCTTGCACTTTCTTGAGAGCCAAGGACTCAAATCAATCTGAAAACACACAGGGAGAAGACTGGACACCTGTCGGCCACCCCAGGACCCTGTTGGCCACCTAAGTGGCCGTTCGGCCAGTTGAGGCAAATTCGGGCTAGTTTGGTCATTTTGTTTGGAGAACTTTAAAAACACACATCCAAAACACTTTTGCTCACACCCACAAGGCCAAAATTCCTTCCTCTCTACTCCTAGACACTTTTCCTCCTGAGATTCGTGCCCCACACGCGTTTTCCAACACCCCTCGCGAAGTTGATTCGCTAAAAACTTTCGGTTTCCTTCACTTTGAACCGATCAAAACTTATTTCCGGAGCTTTTTCCTCCACATTCACCATTTGAGGTATGTTTTCCACAAGTTTGTCTTGAGTTTGGTGCCTTTCCCCGGGCTTTGATTTTCTTTGACTTTTTCTCTTCCCGAGAGTTGACTTTTGTTGACTTTTGGCATTTTTCTCCCATTTTGCTCATTTTTGTCTATCTTTCACCTTCTTTTCAGATGGCGGACGACGCTTCACACGACGGGGGTTCTTCGAGGATGGAGGGGAAGCCAGAGCACATCCTGTTGCCGCCTCAAGTTCAGCCGTTCGACCCATTAGATTCCGCTCGAGCCTCCGTTGCCTAATCACAGATATGTCAGGACACCTGACTCACCACCGGTATGCATTGCAGCTTTCATTTATCGCTCAGATATTCATTCATTCATTCATTCACTAATTGATCATCTTGCATTTGCAGCCCTCTATCGGATATGTCAAGGGATTACTCGAGGTATTGGACTCTTTTGAGGGCAAGATTTTGAGGAGGGAGATAATGCTTAGCTCCCATGGCATTTAGGCGCTTTTCAGCTTTCTTGCATTTCGGTTATTACATATCTGCTAACATACTAAAACTAACATCTCAACTGAGCATTTCCTCACAGTGCACTGACACACTGCATGCGTAGATCACATCTGACACGACACACTGCATGCATACTGTATCTGATTTCTGCATATACTCTTCATACCACACTTGCACTTTAATACTCGCTGATATATTCAAACTGCCTTTTCAGGTCACACCCTTGCAGACAGGGCCCTCAGAGCCTTCTCCAGCAGTAGAAAGAGAGGTTCCGGCACACAGCCGTGGGAGACGTTGGAGCTTGTCACGCGCGATGACGATGACGATGACGAGTTTAGTGAGGACCAGGAGCCAGCGGGTCTGCAGTCAAAGTCATCTGAGGGCGGAGGCGAAGGCGACGGCACCGGCACCGGCACCGGCACCGGCTTAGGTTCTGAGGGTGGAGACGACGCTGATGAGGGCTCCGAGGATGGGAGCGGAGATAGCTCTGGTTCCGGCTCCGGCTCATATTTAGATAGTGGTACTGATGGCGACCGCTCAGAGTCCGCTCAGCCGCGGAAGAGGACGAAGAGGGCCTCCCGATCCTGAGACAGCTGGCGCGGATTTAGACATTTTTTCTTTGTTTTCTTTTTTTCTTTCTTGCTAGTAGTTTTAGCACATTGTATAGCCTTAGGCAGTTTTATTTTCTTTAAAACTTATACTCTTTGTAAAAAGAAACCATGATGGAATGGAAAACAACTTTTTGATTTAAAAAAGTGTTGTATTTTATATTCTGAGCATTGCATCGCACCATTTTACACAAAAATGAGATTGATGAAAATTGAACATTTGTACATTGCAAAGTCAGGTAGTGAACCGACACAACAACTATAACAAACAAAACAGACAACTTAAAGAACAACTCGATAAGAAAAACAACGACAACTCGATAAACGAATTACAACAAACTTGATAAGCAAAATGCAACAACTCGATAAACAAATTGCAACAAACTTGATAAGCAAATTGCAACAACCCGATAAACAAATACAACTGTTAAACAGAACAACAAGACGCATCCGAAGTAGAATCAAACTCAGGCTTTCAGTATCCTCAGCACACAGGAAGGCAAAAAGTTCTCTACTGGAGACAAGAATGGTTGTGAGCCACTTAGGCTCATTGTCGACCACTTATGATCATTGCCGACCACAAGTGGCCGGTCGGCCAGTAAAGGTGGCCAGTCGGCTACTTGAACCGGCCGGTCAGCCAGAAACTTTGAAAATCCCCAGATTGCTACCACCTGTCCTCCACTCAGTACCTTATCTTCTACAAAAGCATCAGCTTTGTGGTTTCTTCATTTCAGCTCCATTTTTGCCTCAAAAATGGAACCATTCTTCACCGAAAAACTCTTCAATTGGATTACGAATTTGGACGGCTCAGAAAAGTTAAATTTTGGGGGTTTTAGGATAAACGCACTATTCCCGCTGAGTCACACCCCGCTGTGTTTTTCGTTCTTCCACGCCGCAACTAGATATTGGAATCTGATTACACATGTTTAGCTTTGGGGGACAAGAGGTATGCCCCACAATTGAAGAATTCCAAGCTTTGATGGAATCTCGACATGACGAGGAGATCTTGCCCCAGTCTCATTTTGGCCACATCCAAGCTTTAGGACGGATGTCCAGGCTCACTTTGCATGATGCCCGAGCTTTGGTTCACAACGGGGAATTGGACATCCCCAATCTTATTTATCGGTTTTCTAACGCCGGTGACCGTGGTGAGCACTTTTGGCAAAGTTTTCGGCAACATGCCTTCTGCTTGTGTATGTTGGCCCATTTTCTACTTGCCCCTAGCTTCAGAGGGTCTAGCATTCGCTTGATCGAAGTTGCCCAAGGCTTGAAAGAAGGCAAAAGTTGCATCAGGTTGACACTTGCCGAAACTTTGATGGGCTTGGATGTTTTCCATCGTCGGGAGACAACCGAGTTTGTAGGAAGTCCACTACTGCTACAGGTAATGTTTCCCACCCTTCTCACATGTGTTTCTCACATCACTCGGCCCTCAGGCTCTGTTTTTCTCTCAAAATCCTTTTCTTACTTTTCTCTCTACGTACACCTCTCCATTCTTTAATATCTCTTATTTTTTATCCCTGCCCAGGTATGGCTGATGGATAAGTTGAAAGTAGTGGACGCTTGTCCTGCGTATTTAGCGCGCGGTTATTTTTTTCGCCCTCGGCTAGTTGACTTTCCGAGCAAGGGATGGTGGTGCCACGAGATGTGTAGCAGGTCTGCTGTTGACATCGCTTGGCGTTGCCCCTGGTTTGATCTACCTCAGATGAGCTACAGTATGTCCCGGCAGACCGGTATTCAATTGGTTGGCTTGACGCACTGCGTTTTCTATTTTCCATTCCGATTCCGCCGTTAATTCAGACACGACCAGACCAGACTTGCCCGAAAGAGGGGATAGAGTACCCAGCTTCATTTCCAATCTGAGGCCCATAGCTAGCTCGATATTCCACTGCATGGAGGACGAGAGAACTTCTGGTCCCCGCTCCCAATTTCAGTTGTGCCCTTTCTGGCAAATACATAGTTTGGCTTGAAGATGAAGTGCAAACTGGGCCCACTTTGGCATCTGAAGCTTCCACAAGCTCTGGGAGGGGGTGCAGGAACACCTGACGATGCCCCAAGTTTATTGCTTTAATCTATACTTTCGAGTTTTTCTTTGTGAATGTAACAAAAAAGCAACTTCAATTTGTATCGAGAGTCGGAGAACTCTGTATTGAAATCAATGAAATTGAAGGTCGTGGGTACTGAAAATTTTCCGTTTTGGTCCAAAAATGGTCTAAGTTGTAAAAAGATTAATTTGCACAAAATCAACTTTTCAAAACCATTTTCGATATGGATCACAACTGGACACGCCTGAGATCTATCACCGAGATGTAAAACCCCCGGATCCAATAACTGGAAAGTTGCCTATTGTCTGAATAGCACTGCACTGTAGCTCACAACCGAACTCTTGGATGCAGGGAAGACAAAGGTGACCCAAAACAATCACATGGACACAGTTGATTGGAAGTGTTTATGGCTGGACTTCAGAATGAAGTTGCCTACGTATTCCAAAGATGGGAATCACACCTTACGTAGTTCGGTTCAAGTTCACTCGAGTTTTAACACTCTCCTTTTGCACTCTAACTTTTTCCAAGGCTGCCCTTTCTGTGTTTTCAACCTTGCGAGCTCAGTTTTTCTTATTTCAAATTTTTTTGTGCTCTAACTTTTGCCTAGGTCGCCCTTTCGGGTTTTCGGCATAGCGAGCCACTCAGGGATAGTATTTCTTCATCTTGTCCATGTTGATAGGTTGGGAGAACTCAAGACCATCTAAATTCATTAGAGTGACAGCTCTACCTGACCAAATTGACTTGATGATGTAAGGACCAATCCAATTGGGTCTAAACTTGCCCCTAGGGTCATGGATGGGAGCTCAGTTGTCTTTGAGCACCAAATCCCCTTCTTTTAGATTCCTAGACTTAACCTTCTTGTTAAAAGCCCTGGCAATTCTGCGCTGATAACCTTGGACAATGTACAATGCTTTCAGCCTTCTCCCGTCGAACAACATAAGTTCTTCAAACCTACTCTGCTGCAAATCTACCTCTGCTATCTGGCACTCAGCCATAACCAGCAATGATGGAACCTCAACTTCGATTGGCAGAACAGCCTCCATCCCATAAACTAAGGAGTTCGAAGTTGCCCCAGTAGAAGTTTGAATTGATGTCCAGTAGCCCCAAAGAGCAAATGGCAGCTTATCTGGCCAGTCCCTGTAGGTTTCCACCATCTTCTATAGAATATGCTTGATGTTCTTGTTGGCTGCCTCAACAACTCCATTGGTTTGCGGCCGATATGTGGATGACTTATGAAAAGTCACGTTGTATTTCTCCAACAAGTCGATCACTTCCTTCTTGAAGTGGGAACCATTATCCGAGATGATCTCATTTAGGACCCCATACCGATAGATAATGTTATTCCTGATGAACTTAGTTACATGTGACGCTTTCAGCACTGCATAGGATTAGGCCTCGACCCACTTTGTAAAGTAGTCTATCGCCACTAGGATGTCCTCATACCCGTTCGACCCCTTCGGAGTAACTGCCCCAATCACATCAATCCCCCAGACTGAAAATGGCCATGGGGAAGTCATGTTGTAAGCTTTGACGGCAGAATGTTCATGCTATTTGCATGGATCTAGCATTTGTGGCATCGCCGAACAAAGCCAATACAATCCTCCTCCATGGTTGACCAGTACTAACCCTGCTTGAGAATCTTCCGAGCTAGCATCACCACGCTCATGTGCGATCCGCACTCTCCTCCGTGGATGGCCTCCATCAGGCGCTTCGACTCTTCAGCATCAACACACAGTTTATGCATCCCAAGATGGCCTCGTTTGTATAATTTACCCTCGCAGATGATGAGCTGAGCAGCTATTCTTCGTATTTAGATTCCTAGACTTAACCTTCTTGTTGAAAGCCCTGGCAATTCTGCGCTGATAATCTTGGACAATGTACAATGCTTTCAGCCTTCTCCCGTCGAACAACATAAGTTCTTCGAACCTACTCTGTTGCCAATCTACCTCTGCTATCTGGCACTCAGCCATAACCAGCAATGATGGAACCTCAACTTCGATCGGCAGAACAGCCTCCATCCCATAAACTAAGGAGTTCGAAGTTGCCCCAGTAGAAGTTTGAATTGATGTCCAGTAGCCCCAAAGAGCAAATGGTAGCTTATCTGGCCAGTCCCTGTAGGTTTCCACCATCTTCTACAGAATATGCTTGATGTTCTTGTTGGCTGCCTCAACAACTCCGTTGGTTTGTGGCTGATATGTGGATGACTTATGAAAAGTCACGTTATATTTCTCCAACAAGTCGATCACTTCCTTCTTGAAGTGGGAACCATTATCCGAGATGATCTCATTCGGGACCCATACCGACAGATAATGTTATTCCTGATGAACTTAGTTACATGTGACGCCTTCAGCACTGCATAGGATTAGGCCTTGACCCACTTTGTAAAGTAGTCTATCGCCACTAGGATGTCCTCATACCCGTTCGACCCCTTCGGAGTAACTGCCCCAATCACATCAATCCCCCAGACTGAAAATGGCCATGGGGAAGTCATGTTGTAAGCTTTGACGGCAGAATGTTCATGCTATTTGCATGGATCTAGCATTTGTGGCATCGCCGAACAAAGCCAATACAATCCTCCTCCATGGTTGACCAGTACTAACCCTGTTTGAGAATCTTCCGAGCTAGCATCACCACGCTCATGTGCGATCCGCACTCTCCTCCGTGGATGGCCTCCATCAGGTGCTTCGACTCTTCAGCATCAACACACAGTTTATGCATCCCAAGATGGCCTCGTTTGTATAATTTACCCTCGCAGATGATGAACTGAGCAGCTATTCTTCGTATTGCCCTCTTATATTTGTCATTTTCCCCTGGTGGATAAGCCTCATTTTCCAAGAAGTTCCAGATGTCATGATACCAGGGGTTCGGATCTTGTACTTCATCTATGGCGGCGATCAACTCATAGGCCGGCACATACCTCTGTTCAATAATGATTGGA